GGGCCCCTTCATAAACGAGTGATACAACATTCACTGCATGTGTGTATGTGAGCCTCTTGTAGGAGCCCAAGCGGTTCGCTTTTTGCAGCAAACGCTACATTCCTGAATGGAAAGTCCTTGAAGGAGCACATAACGTCCTCTTTCTTCATTTAACTTTTGCATTTTTTATTCAGAATCTTCGTAAAATCAAAAAGAAAAGTATGGACTGATCTGAGCCTTATATGTGCTCCAAAACAATTTGAAATATATTTTATCGCACAAAGTCGAATATTTTATCTTTAAAATTTAGAGCTACGTAACTAATTCAATAATCATGACTCGTGCATTCGCAGAAAAGTTATCTCAGAGACTCAGTAAATTCCCTTGCTAAGCTGCATGTATCTTCAAGCAGGCATTATACTTCTAAAAGGAATTAAAAAGTTATACTTCACTGTAGATCGAAAAGAGGCTCCTTCATTTATGAGTGATGCAACAGTCATGACGTGTAAGTATGTTTAGCCCTTGCAGGAGCCCCCTTGCTCACCTATTTGCATTTTTATCTAAAGAAAAAAAAATAGTCGGTATGGATTGATCTGAGCCTTCTATGTCCTCCAAAACAATATGAAATATTTTATCGCACAAAGTCCAATATTTTTCGATTCAGATCCTACAAATGCCTTTAAAACAGCATGAGAAAAAATACTCAATCGGCTGGCTAAAGTCCAGTATTTTTCTTGAGAATAGTCTCCTCCTTCAATGAGTGATGCAACAATTGCGACATTTTTGTATGAAAAGCCCTTGCAGAAGCCTTTTCATTTGACTCAGCTAAATTTTGAGGAATCACTGACGTGTCCGCAAAAATGCTCTTACTGTAATCATTAGTATTTGTCCCCTCTGCATGCTGGAAGATTGCTTGCAGCGTATTTTTCGAGCGTATCATTCTTCCTTTGCTTTCTCCCAAAACGTATTTATCGTATAATATTTTTAATCTCAACTTATGATGCTGCAGTTTCATATGCATGTAAATGGAAGCTATCATAAGATTGTATCATATGCCACTGCATAATGAACTGATCGTCATGAAAAGGACTCCAGATTACCTAGATATTGAAAATTGTTTTAAGAGAAAATAAATGAAGATTTAAAAAAACAAAAATTATAGTTGAAAATAGCGTTTTTATTTTTTACGCAGAGTAGAATAGGTAAGAGGGTTTTGACATGGATCCTCAGATATCTCTATGAAGCATTATAGTGACCCGTCTTTTTTACGCATTTTTTGTGGACACGTCAGTGATTCTTCAAAATTTAGTTGAGTCAAATAAAAAGGCTTCTGCAAGGGCTTTTCATACAAAAATTTCGCAATTGTTGCATCACTCATCGAAGGAGGAGACTATTCTCAAGAAAAATACTGGACTTTAGCCAGCCGGTTGAGTATTTTTTCTCATGCTGAATGATGTGAAGCCAATGAAACATTTGGCTGGAGACAGAGAAACTGAGAATAATATTTTCAATGAGCAAAACTGGAACTCCTTGTTTGATCAACTAAACATTAATAGGGGGTGATTCAGTTTGCAATCAATAAAAGTTACCTGATGTTTTGGTGAGTTTAAACTTCTCTCATCGAAATAGGGTACCTACATAATGTTTTAAAAACTGATGGATTAGTAATTAATTGTCATAGTGTAGGCTACTTAGAATGAACTTCTTTTGCCGCATGAATTATTCCTTACTCATAAAGTTTCAACATTAATTCTGCAATTTTTACTGCGTTTAACTCAACTGTTGGACATACTTACATTCAGCCACTAAAATTTTAAATTAAATAACAGTGCGACCATTGAGTGGAAAGTCCATTCAAAGAGTTAAAATTATTTTTTTTTTTGGTTCACTCATTATAGAAAGTATTTCCAGTAAGAGGTATTTAATTTATCAATAAAAGTGTGCGTCAAGCCAAGCTCCATCGGCCACAAAAGTATTTTTCTTTTAACAAAGTATAACGTCTAGGAATGTGACTTGAAACATGAAGATTAGAAAATTGTACATATCCTATTATGCACTCCGTTGAACTTGAGCGATTCAGGTAATAATCGACTGAATTTCAACCTCAAGTTACAATGGCCTTAAGTTCAAGAATTCCTAGTAATTTGGTTGTCCACCGTCGGACTAAAAACACCACCCCCAAACTCTTCATCAGAGCATGTTCTGCAGTTGGTACGGAAGCACATACTTTTCGATCATAAACGCTACCGATTGGTCTAATTTTTTTTGGCCTTGATTCACGCGATTACATTTATTCCATTAAGAACTGAGTAGGCACGTGAACCATACATAGACCCAACGCTCAATTAATTTCAGAGTGCACTGTTTCACTGGAGAAATTATGCTAGAAACTCACTAGGTGAAGATGGAATACCTCTGTGACACAACAACCATCAACACCACAATACTTTCACATCAAGAGTGGCGGTAGCCACCTCCGGTCGAGGAAAATGACGATCTTCTAAGGGCTTTTTTTTTATCCGTGGAACACATGGATCGCGATGACCTACCTCGGAAGAGTGGTCCAAGCGTTACACTGGAACAGATGGAACGCACTGGATCGCCCCAGTGGAACGCGATAAAAAAGTGATGCGTTCCATTGTGGTCCAATATGGTTCGGATAAAAAAAAAGCCCTCTAAAGTCCCTATAGCAAAGGGGTGGCCGACACTCTTAGTCACACCGAACTCCCTTAATCTGAAAATTGATTCGATTTAGAATGGAATTCAGAGCAAACGGCGGCACGGATTCCAACAATCTTGGTGTCTATGGACGCAGCTAAGTTAGCCGGATGGCATTTAAGGGTTTATTATCTAACAGTCGGTAGCTGCACCACCAGTGTAAGTCCATAACATAACCTCACTATTTGATGTGTTTACATCAGGTTTTCAAATGTTACAATGGAGAAGGAATGGGCGCTACGTACTTTCTTGGCCCAGCGATTTATGCAGCAATATTAATTCTTGATTTTATAGTAATCTGGACTGTAGTAAGACTGGCCATATGGTGTTTCTAACAACTTCTGACGCAAAATCAAAGAGACTCGAAGAAAACCAAATTTGAGCTAATACTCATCGTCAAAGATCTCTGATTTAGGGACATAAGGTTGACTTAGTGATTGAATTATACCTTGCATATCCCCATGATGTCTTCGATGTAAACAAGCAACGGTAAGAGGCGAAAGCTTTCCCAGATAAGTCGTGAAGAACACAAGATCTTAATGTCAATAACATACACTTACGAAAAGCACAAGCACTCCAGAGCACGTAGGTTGAAAGCATTTAAAGCGAATAAATTTTGGTCAGAGCATAGTGACCGTGTCGCATGTAGTGTGATGGGCGAAGGCTCATATTACAGTAATTTTTAGATCTTTTCTTGAGACTGATAGGGTCCACCGAAAACAACTACATCTCTTCAAGATATGGAAACTAGCATTCGTGACTTGAGGAAAACAATAATGTAATTAAAAACTGAGAGTAAAGGGCTCTCCCTTTGATCCATCGATCCATTGGTGTGCATGGTAGGGAAATATTTGGATGCTGTTAGTCACGAGAATACAAACTGTGGTGTAAATCCTGCTTCCTTTTGATAGTTTGGCACAACTTTGGTGTCCTTTTATTTATCGACGTAATTTACCTGAATTACATTTATTGATGCTTGGGTCAGATAGATGCACGGACTGATAACCTCACTTCTGAACAAAGACGTCGCTTGAACATTTTAAGAGAAACTAATGAAATAGTGTATCGGGCTCTGGCAGAAGACGTGCAACGTAATAATATAAGTGTGAAAAAATATTAGTTAGCTTCTACAGAGAATTGAACTCTTATAATTAAATCATAAATCTGTGCTCAACTAGTTAGAGTTGGAAGTTGGTAACGAGGCAGGGAAATTTCGTTCCGCTAGACAGGCTGAACTGAACGGAATCGACCAATGGCATTGAACCACTACCGGATTTTTTCTAAAATTCAAAACATTGTAGCTAAAATTTTGAAAGTTATTTGCCGATGCTGAATTATCCGAGCATTGAAACCCTATTAAATGTGGTAGAAATGAAATCCTCATATCTTCAAGCATGATCCTTTGTAGGTTTCATTAGAATCCGTGGCCGCGTAAGCAAGAAATCTGTTGTGAAAGGTGATCATGTCGGTTTCCCGCTACTAAACGGCCCACGTTATAAAAAATATTTGTCATTTTGGGCCTTAAAGTGCTTATAACTTTTTGAAAACTCAATGGATCTGGATGAAACTTTCCCACTTAGTAGGCCCAATTTAGATGCGTCAGTAGACACCAAGATCGTTGGAATCCGTGCCGTCGTTTGGGCTGGGGTCGAGTTCGAACCGAATCAATTTTCAGAATAAGGGAGTTACGTGTGTCTATGGTTGGCTGCCACCTTTTTCGTTTGGAGGCTTTCCAGTGTTGTCGAGTTTAGACTTTGTCCGGAGGTGGCTACCGCCACCCATGATAAAATGTGAAGTAGTTTTAATGATACAGTGACAAATATCGTCGAAGAAGTCGTCGTCTCTCTGACGTAAGGGCGTATCTCGATTCCCTCTTGAGCCCTGATTTGAATACAAACCCATGCTTTCTGTGGTCCATGCGAAAATTGAGATACGCCCTTACATCAGAGAAGCGACGAAATGAGAATGATATGGACGTATTTCTATCAAACGGAACTATGTGCATTATGACATGAGCCCTGCGACCCATAAGAATATATGCATAACAGAGCTCACGTCATAATGCACATAGTTCCGTTTGATAGAAATACGTCCAAATCATTCTCATTTCGTCGTTTCTCTGATGTAAGGGCGTATCTCAATTTTCGCATGGACCACAGAAAGCATGGGTTTGTATGCAAATCAGGGCTCAAGAGGGAATCGAGATACGCTCTTACGTCAGATGAGAGACGACGATTTCTGCGACGATATCTGCAGCATCAAATGTACTCTAAGGAAAGATTTTTCAGTAAACACTAATCGAAGATAGATACAAGAAGCTTCAAAGGCACGCTGAAAAGAAAAAGTCTGTACAGCTGCTCTTCGAAGAGGACATCATGTGTCAAAATAAATTTGGCAAAGGTGGATGCCTCCCGGTTTCATTTTGCCAGTCCTCGCCTATACTACTTGAAATGACAAAGTTCCGCAAATGACATGACGTTCAGGCTTTTTTAGAAGTTTCGTGCATTTTAAGAATGATTCAACCCGGCTTTCAGATGTCAGTCTAGAGATTTTAGATTAGATGGCTAGGAGTATGCTGTGTTTTGCACGTAAGTAAGATAATTTCAGTGGATAAGAGTGCAACCCCTGAAGCAGGAAATCTAGATATATAGTAATGGGTAGTAATATATAGTAACAGGTGTTTGCCATAGCCTCAGCCAGAGGCTCAATTGTACAAATTATAAAATAAAATAATAGGCCAGTCATTCGTAGACAATAAATCGACGGTATATTGCAATGTAACACCCGGTGAATTACGTTTAGCTCCTTTTTTATGTGCGAACTGTTTGGTAAGGTATCAGAAAGAAATGATTAATAAGGTTTGATTGGAACAATACAACACCTGTTTTAATTTGTAAATTTGAATGATAACCAAGGTGTTGTAATGAATATTTATTAATTACTGAGGCACCTTTCGGCTTAGGTACGCCATCTTCGGAGTACATATTCATCGGAACATAAATATGTCACAGTTATTTTACACTACTTGTCACCAGCTTAACAATATATACATCGTGGACATCATATACAAAAAGTCTAAATTACGAGAAAGTTAAATAGTTCAGAGCGTTACTCCTGATAAAATCGTAAACATTCCAACGACAACATGTTTACGATTTTATCAGGAGTAATACGCTCTGAACTATTTAACTTTCTCGTAATTTAGACTTTTCGTATATGATGTCCACGATGTATTATATTGTTAAGCTTGTGACAAGTAGTGTAAAATAGGTAACTGTGATAAATTTATGTTCCGATGAATACGTACTCCGAAGATGGCGTAAACCGAAAGGTGCCTCAGTAAATAATAAATATTCATTACAACACCTTGGTTATCATTCAAATTTACAGAAAGAAATGATTTCATTCTCCGATTTTTTGTGTATTTTCCGAAGGAAATACACTATTGCGTTCTCCCCTGATGTCAGACCTGGACCAAAGACCATGTAATGAGTATCGATCATGGGTCGTAGATTACGAATATGCATGCCGTTTGAATTCATGTTTTATATATATATATATATACACACTTATATATGTATGTATTTCCGACTCATCGTGGTTTTTCCGATTTTCGCTGGGTTATATTTCCCTCATTTTAAAAAAGTTCCGGGTGAAACTTTTTGCGATGTATAGTAGAGGAACAGGACTACCATTCTGCGAAAAAAAAACGGAGATCGAAGTATTACATTTCGAATGGTGGGGGCGAGAAGTGGGGGGAGGTTCAATTTTGTGGGCGCGATAACTCGCGCAAATTAAAAGCTTCCCCCCTGAAATTTTTATAGAAGGAAGATCTTACTTAGTTCTAGGCTGGTATTGAATTTGAGCGAAATCGGTCGAGCCGTTTAAAAATGGCGAGCTTTGAAAGTTTTAGGCGGAAGGGTGTGCGGCAAAAGAGGAGGGAAGCCGCACAGTGGTTCACGAACTGAAAGTTGGTGGACAAGACGGCAATGTTGTCGCACAGTGGGTCAAAAACTGAAAGTTGGTGGAAAAGACGGCAATGTTGTCGCACAGTGGGTCACGACCTGAAACTTGGTGGACAAGACGGCAATGTTGTCGCACAATGGGTCACGAACTGAAAATTGGTGGATAAGACGGCAATGTTGTCGTACAATGGGTCACGAACTGATAATTGGTGGACACGATGGCTTTATTGTCGCACAGTGGGTTACAGACTGATAATTGTTTTTTTTTAATTTGACACTCAAACTAAAAAAAAATACACTAAAACGCGCGCGANCCCCCCCCAAAAACCGGCGCGGGGCGAAGCGGAGCGCCGGTTTTTTTTAACATTAAATATAGCCATTTCAGTACAACTCATCAATGCAAAATTGCTACTCCTGGTTAATATTTGGTCACTAAACCATGAAGGAGTTTTGACTTGTGGATGCATTTTCCTGAGGGTAAATGACGCGTAGAACACGATGCGCACATTGAAAACAGGAAATGTAACTCGAAACCGAAAAATACGCGGCTTAAAATACACGACTCGTCCGCAAATTTAATACGCCCCGATTTCGCGCCAAACCTAATGATGTCATCCAGTGCCAAGCAGAAGCGAGCACGGGTTTCTACGACATGAGTCAAATGTCTTTCTTCTCTTCGTATATATAAAACCAATAGGAATGCTGGAGATCTCGTGTTATCATTTATCAGATGTAAACATACCTCAATTCTATAATTAAATTTGTTTAATTTATGTGTTTATAATGATTAAAAATTATGTCGTGAGAAAAAAATTGTAGATAATGGGTGATTACTTGCCTCAGTAATTGCCCACACGTGAAACTTGATTAAGTATACCTGACTTGCCAGGGCATTTAAATATGCCTAGTTGACGGAACCTCTTTGTCTTTTTCTTTTCCATTTTTTAGTTACTTCTAGCGCTCCATTTTAGTAACATTCTGATATTCACTGAGTTTTTCGAGTGCCAAACTTGTTTCAAAGTATTCAAAGTATTGCTCATCATATTTAATTCCTGAACGTAAATGTAATTCGGTCGGCGTCGGTGTTGCCCAGGGATGCCTTGAAGTGAGAGGAAGTATTTATCTTTACCTGGTTGAAGTTTTTGGTGAATCGCAACAGCTTCATGACTGTGACGGTTGTGATATTTTAAGCGGTAAGAGCTGAAAATGTGGCTTAATACATCGACCTACACAATTCAACCGACAGAATTCGTTGAGAGCACTTTTTTCCATTATACTAGGTAAAATGTGAAATGTTTTGTTACACATTTTACAAATGAATCGTTCATGACTGAAATTGGACACTTTTCGTAGAATTACCCCTATGTAACGTAACATGTCATGTAAACAATAAACAAATCCACTTATCTTTGTACAAATAATGCGAATTTTATTCCGAACGGCAGGCAAAACAAAAAACGGAGAAAGGATCGCGTATAATTAAATACGCTACTCTTTCCGTTTGGCAATGAAGTTAGGGGAAACAATACTGTATACGTACTATCTTCATCGAGATTGATATTTGGAGAATGATCTACATCTTCCGCCAAAACAATGATATGAACTGTATTTACAAAAGTATTATTCTTTTTTTTTTTTTTTAATCTTTATTTCATTTCTCCTACTTTATAGTATTAGGAAATTTTACTTGAACATCTATTTACATAACTTAAGTCTAACTGGTGGATCAAGGATAGTAATTACTAAATTAATGAGACATTAAAACCGCTTGAGGAGCTTGAGGACTGTTGAGCGATCTAGTCGCGGCACAAGACTCAACTAATCTCGTATTATAGCGGCGGATATTAGGTCAAAAATGGGTATCAACTGAGCTTTTAATACTTCCCAGGTAGTTTGAATTTGTAGCCATACGAAGAACATATCGACGGTGTAAGTCCGCAGTTATATATCTCGTTTGCGATGTCCGAAAATCTCCGCCTCTATGTTATTCTTTTAAAGGAGATCAAATTGACATAATTCCTTGAAATTTTTGCAGAATTCTCTTCGCACAGAGAAAAAAAATCACGGCAGTTTTAAAGAATTGCCGTAGAGTAATTTTCCGTTGAAAAAATAAAGTATGACAGGATGTCTGCACCGAGTTATGTGATTGCCGACTTACACCGTCGATATACCGTATAGATTCATTTCCGTTTCCGTCTCGATCACAAAATCTTATTCACCTATATACACAACTATTCTTTGGCCATTGGCCACTGCTGCTAATTCATAGAGTGCACTTTGTACACACGTATCTAGATGGTAAAAAATGCCATAAAACCCGTGAAAAATACCTAAATGAACTCGAGTCTGATTTTCAAACGAATCTGTTGCAGTTTTTGTGAGTTTGACAGCAATGCTGACACCGATTGAAGGTCCTTATCAAAATAGAATATGGAAGATAGGATTCAATACAGGTGATCTCGTGGTGGTTCCGTCGGTGGGCAACTTTGATGCATCTCCGTACCACTGGATGTTCGCCGTGTCTAATACGGAACTGGCGGGGATCTCTGTGACAAAGAGGTCGTTCTTTAATCGCAGGGCTCACATCGTTATTTTCAATCAGGATCTGCGGGACCAAATTTGGAGAACAAAAGCCAGCCGAGTGCCCCACATCCTCGGTCGACCCGACATGAGCCGCAAAGGAGCCATCATCGCTAAACGACTAAGTGATAAAAAGGTACATCTTGCTTTTGTTCTTTTTTTTCGGATACAGTGAATTATTTGAGAGAGCACACTAATACACGATGGAGGACTACGAATACACAACACACCTGCAGCGTGGTTGTTGACATTTTGTGTTACCCGACCGGTGACCCGATTGAAATTTATGTCAGCACGACAAAACATCGAAAATCGATAAATTACACGGCCCAGATGTGGCTGTCTAGTGTCTTGCCTTATCTTGCCAAAAAGCCACATTCAGTTTCAACAATTAGGCTGCGAGTATAACAAATAAAGGAAATGACAGGAAGAGGCACTACCCGACGGGCGACGCTTGAGAGGCAGGGGCTGAAAAGGATAGACACATACGAGGCGCGGCTGAAAACTAACGCCTCCAAGCTCAACTTGAAAATCATTGAAGATTTTGGCAATAACTAAAAAAGTTCTATAAGTAGACGCAATTACCCATCTAACCGTCCATCGGTTTGCAAAATTGAACAACTTTCGACGTTACAGCGTTGCCGTACTTCCGACATGTCCTCTCCGACATGTTGAAGGAAGATGTCGAAGGTGACAAATAAGGCTGTCAACCCTTACAGGTGCGGCAGATTTTAAAATACCTGAAAATACCAATTTCGGCGAATTATGCGGGACGTTAAAACTTTTTAAATCCAAGATTCGAAAAATAGAACCAGCACGCACCAAATTATTGTAACAGCATGATTATGCCCGACCTCATGCAGCCGTCAAACTTCAGCCCACATTGAGCGCTTGGATTTGGAGACCATTCCTTATCCTCCATACAGTCTTGACTGGGCGCCATAACTGCCGTGATACCGAAGAGAGCCGTAAGTGCAAAAATGAGAAGCTTCTGACAAGAAAATTTTCTTGAAAGAAGCCTCCGTTCTTTGTCAAATTGCCACTAATCGTCCGGAAGACTCCTAGAAATCGTATGGATGATTAAAAATCGACTGCTTTTATTTCCATTACATAAAAAGGGTATTTTTCATTCTCATGCTAGGTTATATTGTTAGGCAAGACAGCCGTACGTGCTATCTTCTGCATGCTTTCGTGGTTGCGTTTTGGACGCACAACAAACACATTTTCAGGTTAGGAACTGGCAGAGGAGGGTGGCACTTTAGGCCTTATCTCCACGAGCCGTTTCACGAGATTTGTCCCAGGGAAAAATCCCACTTACGAAGTTGGGAAAAATATTGAGTTAATCAATATTTTTCCCAGTACCAAGTATGGTACTTGTACCCCTAGGACCCACTGAGAGAAGAAGAAGAAGTGAAAACGAATTGTGCGATATTTTATTCATTACTACATTGTTAATGTTTGTTTAGTTAAAATAATGTGTCTAATTGTCAATTTAGTGCAATTATTATTTCAATCCCGGTTAAATACCCGACTTTAACCAATTTATCTTCCCGCGAAAACTAGTCGCAGGACTGTATGAGCCCCGTCCCGTGGAGACGGTAACTGGGAAAAATCCCAGAAGTTTCATTCCTGCGATTCGAACTTGGGACAAATCCCATGAAAACGTCCCGTGGAGACAAGGCCTCACTGGAAAGCACTGTTTTCATTGGCTCTCATGCACCTGCGGCTGTCTTGAAAGAAACTATGTCATATTGTCATCGAAGTCAAAGCCGGGGTGCAAAAGTGGATTCAAAATCTACCCGATTAATTTTTTCGACGGGATTCAGCATTCAACAATTCCTTGAGAACAGGCAAAAATACGTTGAAGTTAACAAGGAATTCATCCAAAAATAATTGTAATTATTTTTGGATTCCTTTAAATGCTCTTGAATACAGTCAACCATTTTCTCTCGTACTTTGCTCGTTTGGTTTATCTCATTCAATTCGTCCGATTTTAGCGAGGCAGAGTTACAACTTGCCATCGTAACATTATCCTTCAACATGTTGCATGGAGAGAACATGTCGGAGGCTTATTGGCAACGCCGTAACGTCAAAAATTGTTCAATTTTGCAAACCGATACACCGTCAGAAAGTTAATTGCGTCTACTTTCAGAAAATCTTTAGTTTTTGCCAAAATCTTTACTGGTTCTCGAGTAATGAGCTTTGAGGCGTTACTTTTCAGCTAGGCCTCGTAATTAGAATATCCAATAGTTCTGCGGGAAATTGATCAGCTGCGCAACCGTCACAAGTGAGAAAGTGTTCGAAGACTACGGCATCTGAAATATTATTCTTATTACCTCGCTCTATAACTATGATATACTATTATAACGTAACGCCACACAGCCTAACGCTGGGCGTGTCCGCTACTCTTTCCACTACATTACCCTATACCTAGTTCTTTCTGCGCCTACTCACTTCTCTATTCTTTCGTATACAGAGGTCTTTCTCCTCCGCCATTTTCCTATCAGGGGTTTTGCCACTTTTTGTCGACTTTTTGTTCATGCTAGTTTCCTTTGAGACTATGCGATTTATTCTTTTGTGTTCTTCGTAGTTTAGCTAAAGGTTTTTCTTCTTCTTTCCGTTCTTTCATTTCTGCTTTTTTTACTTACTCGTGTGATTCTGACAATGAGACAGTGGATATTTTGACAGTGGGTCGTGAAGTAATCTTAATAAAATTGTTTAGTTTTTCTCATGGTAAAGTATCATTATTATTGACACCCAGGATGATTCTAAGCATATTATTTCTCGTGAATCACTCTTTATAAAAATGTTTTCTTTCTTATTATACAGTATCATTATTATTGACTTCTTTGAATAATAATTCTAAATTTACATCATAAAATTTCTATATTTCATATCCTTCGCTTTTGCAATCGCTTTTGCATACAATACCTCATTCAAAATTAGCGTCAGCTTTATGCTGATTTGAAATGAACGTTGGCTACACCAACTTTCTGTTTATTCAAAATCGGTCATTTCCAACCGTATGTACAGGGTGATCCAGGGTTAAACGGCCAGATTGCAGGAGCGTGCGCTCTATGAGCCAAAATAAGACTTTTTTTCTGTGTTAAGTTTTTTTCCAAAAGTGCCCCCAGTCGGAGCTACGCCCCCCCCCCCCTCCGATTTCAGAAAGTAAATAATTTTTCCTGAATTTTGGCAACGGGTGTAAACCAAATCTCATGCAAATTTGAACTCTCATGTGCTTTTATGTTCTGGATTCATAGATGATTTTAAAAAAAATCGAAATTTCAATTTAGGGGGGGGGGGGGTTTGGGGATTAATTCGCTCCTGCAGTTTGGTCGATTAACCCTGGATCACCCTGTATACCCTTTTACCTTCAAAGACCACCATCTTTGATTTGCGACACCACGGTTGACCAAGGTGATTTTTTAACTTCAAAAATGTATTTGAAATTTACGACCAAAATTACTAAATAAATGATATCTCACTTGACGATGTATGTACATTTTAAAATATGAACATCGTGGATAGTCACATCATGACCGCCGTTATGGATGCTAGGCACCTTCAGGAGGAGCGAGGAGGTGTGCAGGATTATTCTTTGACCGTAAGTACTTTAAAAGTGGAAAGACAGTGACTTGAGGCAGATCAATACTGGATCGTTTCGCCGTTCTCGAGCAATTTGGCATTGGCGCCTTTTAGTGTCCGTATTATTTTCCATCGACATCTTTTCATAAACTGGTTTTACTAATGCTCCGTCTAGAACTGCGACAATTCATTTTGGTAGTTTCCCTGCGTGCATTTGCTACGGTTGCCATGGTTGCTAGGGTCTATACCCTTATACCATCTGAAAATTCCAGAAATCGATGGGTCCGCAGTCCGCACCCTCCTAAGATAACGTTGAGCATATTAACGTACCTATGATACGTTTGTCGCCAAAAATATAAGGCACTCTATCTTCAGGGGAATTCCACATGCTAAGTCTCTACATATTATAAATCCGTTTATTTCTAAACTTGCTATTAAGAACACTACTTGATTTTTTACAGGTTTATTTCAACATACTTCGTTGTAACTGTGGGCATTATACCGACTACTTTGCATACGGAAGAGTATACGGAATAAAAGGAAAAATTACACACTTGCCGATCAACAAGAGTTGTCCTCTTTATAATGTAATCACCGAAGACACTGATGTTACATCAGAGAACTTCAAGCTAGTGGACGGGTATGGTAGAAAGTTTGACTTGCTGCCGTACAAGGAAGAAATGGCACCTTAGGGGACTGAACAAGATTAAAAGAGAAAAAAAAGAGTAAATAATATCAGTAAAACAAGATAGCCACGAATCGCATTGCTGCATTTAAAAAAAAGTGTGTTGCGTGCTGCACAACAGATTGGTCCGTTCACTTCATTCTCCGCTAGAGTATCAAGTTTTTAGTAGGTACCATGAGTCACGAAACGAAAATCACGGACTGCACTGTTAAATTATGGACATGAATACTATATACTGTAACACTGATTGGTCCTTATACTTCATTAATGGAAAAAAATTCAGTTTTAGCGTGACCCAGGAGTCACGACACCATAATCACGAACTCCACTGTTAAGTTACGAAAATAAATATTACATGCTGTACAACTGATTGGTCTGTTCACCTCTTTTATCGCAAAATTGTCCGTTTCTGACGGAACTCATTAGTCACGACACGATGATCGCTCCCTGCACTGTTAAGATACGAAAATAAATAATAACAAGTTGGTATCTGCTATCGCCACGCGATAGCAATACTCGTCATGGGAACTTGAGAAATGTGTGATAAATCACTTAGCATTGGGTACTATTATTATTATCTGCTGTTGATTTAGCAGAAGTCAAAATATTTACCCATAGTTGATAAAATTGCAGAAGTTGTTCCTTTTTTGCGGCATAACGGCAATTTGTCTTCTTCTTTTTTTTCACAAAAGTTCAAGAGATTAACCCCCTGCGAAAGTATGAAAAATTCGCTGTGCAGAATTTTTTTATTTTTGTTTTTTTTCGCAATAGTTTAGTGAAAAATGTGTTCTGCGGAAACTTTAGTTTTTTTTGCAAAAGTTTGAGAGCTGAATCCCGAAAGTCAAAAAGTTGCTGTCTTCTAGTCTTCACGTCACTTGGGTTACTTTTTGTTACTTTTATCTTCTGTTTTGAAATGATTTAGGCAAATTCTCGGAAAATTCTGGGAGAAACTGTTGTTTGGCATCCAATGGATCCATCAATCCGCAATATCTAACGTATGGCGGAGGGAAGGATTTTTTACTTTTTTATTTCTCCTCCAGATATTCGATATATTCACGACCAGGGACGGGAAAATTTTTATCGAGAGAGTGGAGCACGGAATTTCCACGCCTCGCTGAAATTCCCTCTCCGCTCCTAATAATAGTTTCTCCACCCCTAAAAAAGTTTCTCCACACCTAAAAAAATTTCTCCACCCCTTAAAAAATTGCTACACACCTGAAAAAGTTTGGCCGACCCTCGGGAATTTCTTTCTCTCCCCACTAAAATCGCTCTCCCTCGTGAGAAATTACGTCTTCCCCCTGAAGATAGGTTATAGTACAAACGGCGTTCCATTGTGAAGCGCCGCTTATCACGCGCAGTGCAGGTGGTAATCAGACCCCGACGGCATTTAGTTTCAGTCCAGTAATCACGGCTGTTAATCACAAGAGATAAGAGTGTAGCTCGCTGTCAGCTACTAATCTCTCAATCAATCGGTTTATCATTAGATGCGGAGTTGCAATTACAAAAATCGATCAGAAAAAGTGCACAGAAAGTACATTAACGGCACTAAAAAACGGTAAGTATCTTGATATAAACTGGATCTTGAGGTAAATGTTTTCACTGAGTAAGGTGTTTATACTAAAAACACTACGAGGCAAGAAGAACTGGGTCTAAAAACGCGTATTAACAGCACAAAAGAATTTTGGAGCGGGAGCTGCCCGACTGGCGACCGCTCTACTCAGAAGCGACGATGCAACTCCCCATGGAAACTACAAAAAACCACAAAAAACTTTCAGATTCTAAGGGGTAAAGAATCCGGCCAAAGTCTTAAACTTGTTGAACCAAATTTTCTTATTACTCCTAAAAGAAAATTAAAAATTATACTTCACCGAAAATCGAATGTGGGCCCCTTCATTTATGAGTGATGCAACAGTCATGACGTGTAAGTATGTTTAGCCCTTGCAGGAGCCCTATTCCTCACGTATTTGCATTTTTATCTAAAGTAAAAAAAAATAGTCGGTATGGATTGATCTGAGCCTTCTATGTGCTCCAAAACAATATGAAATATTTTATCGCACAAAGTCCAATATTTTTCGATTCAGGTCCTACAAATGCTTTTATAAGATCATGAAAAAAAATACTCAATCGGCTGGCTAAAGTCCAGTATTTTTCTTGAGAATAGTCTCCTCCTTCAATGAGTGATGCAACAATTGCGAAATTTTTGTATGAAAAGCCCTTGCAGAAGCCTTTTTATTTGACTCAGCTAAATTTTGAAGAATCACTGACGTGTCCGCAAAAATGCGTAAAAAAGACGGGTCACTGAAATTAATGCTTCATAGAGATATCTGAGGATCCATGTCAAAACCCTCTTACCTATTCTACTCTGCGCAAAAAATAAAAACGCTATTTTCAACTATGATTTTTGTTTTTTTAAATCTTCATTAATTTTCTCTTAAAACAATTTTCAATATCTAGGTAATCTGGAGTCCTTTTCGTGATGATCAGTTCATTATGCAGTGGTATATGATACAATGTTATGATAGCTTCCATTTACATGCATATGAAACTGCAGCATCATAAGTTGAGATTAAAAATATTATACAATAAATAAGTTTTGGGAGAAAGCAAAGGAAGAATGATACGCTCGAAAAATACGCTGCAAGCAATCTTCCAGCAAGCAGAGGGGACAAATACTAATGATTACAGTAATAGCATTTTTGCGGACACGTCAGTGATTCTTCAAAATTTAGCTGAGTCAAATAAAAAGGCTTCTGCAAGGGCTTTTCATACAAAAATTTCGCAATTGTTGCATCACTCATTGAAGGAGGAGACTATTCTCAAGAAAAATACTGGACTTTAGCCAGCCGATTGAGTATTTTTTTTCATGATCTTATAAAAGCATTTGTAGGACCTGAATCGAAAAATATTGGACTTTGTGCGATAAAATATTTCATATTGTATTGGAGGACATAGAAGGCTCAGATCAATCCATACCGACTGTTTTTTTTTACTTTAGATAAAAATGCAAATATGTGAGAAATAGGGCTCCTGCAAGGGCTAAACATACTTACACGTCATGACTGTTGCATCACTCATAAATGAAGGGGCCCACATTCGATTTTCAGTAAAGTATAATTTTTAATATTCTTTTAGGAGTAATAAGAAAATTTGGTTCAACAAGTTTAAGACTTTGGCCGGATTCTTTACCCCTTGGAATCTGAAAGTTTTTTGTGGTTTTTTGTAGTTTCCATGGGGAGTTGCATCGTCGCTTCTGAGTAGAGCGGTCGCCAGTCGGGCAGCTCCCGCTCCAAAATTCTTTTGTGCTGTTAATACGCGTTTTTAGACCCAACGCGTTTTNATTAATAGGGGGTGATTCAGTTTGCAATCAATAAAAGTTACCTGATGTTTTGGTGAGTTTAAACTTCTCTCGTTGAAATAGGGTACCTACATAATGTTTTAAAAACTGATGGATTAGTAATTAATTGTCATTGTGTAGGCTACTTCAGATGAACTTTTTTTGCCGCATGAATTATTCCTTACTCATAAAGTTTCAACATTAATTCTGCAATTTTTACTGCGTTTAACTCAACTGTTGGACATACTTACATTCAGCCACTAAAATTTTAAATTAAATAACAGTGCGACCATTGAGTGGAAAGTCCATTCAAAGAGTTAAAATTGTTTTTTTTTTTTGGTTCACTCATTATAGAAAGTATTTTCAGTAAGAGGTATTTAATTTATCAATAAAAGTGTGCGTCAAGCCAAGCTCCATCGGCCACAAAAGTACTTTTTCTTTTAACAGAGTATAACGTCTAGGAATGTGACTTGAAACATGAAGATAAGAAGATTGTACATAGTATATTGACGCTAGCGGAGAATATTTTGATTTTTTTTGCTTAGAGTCGCTTCACCACATAATTTGTCGCATCGTGTAACTGGCATGAAGTAAGTATAAATTGTAATGGAGTCTTTTGATTCATGAAAGATAATGAAGGCTACCTCTCAGTTACCTGGTAGTTCAAGAATTCCTAGTAATTTTGTTGTCCACTGTCGGACTAAAAACACCACCCCCAAACTCTTCATCAGAGCATGTTCCGCAGTTGGTACCTAGGCGCAAACTTTTTGATCATAAACGCTGCCGATTGGTCTAATCTTTTTTGGCTTTGATTCACCCGATTACATTTATTCCATTAAGAACTGGGTAGGCACGCGAACCATACATAGACCAAAACGCTCAATTAATTTCAGAGTGCACTGTTTCACTGGAGTAATAATTATGCTAGAAACTCACTAGGTAAAGATGGAATACTTCTGTGACAGAACAACCTACAACACCACAATATTCTCACATCAAGAGTGGCGGTAGCCACCCCCGGTCGAGGAAAATGACGACCTACTAAAGTCCCTATAGCAAAGGGGTGGCCGACACTCTTAGTCACACATGACTCCCTTAATCTGAAAATTGATTAGATTTAGAATGGAATTCAGAGCAAACGGCGGCACGGATTCCAACAATCTTGGTGTCTATGGACGCAGCTAAGTTAGCCGGATCCGGATCGCTCGATTTCGTCCCGAGTCCGATTCCGTCCCGAAATTAAAACCAGATACCGATTCCGTCCCGGAAAAATAATTTCTAAATACAAGCGGCAACATCGCAGCAATTTGAAGGTATCCATAAAGCTGTGCGCGAAGTTTTTCCCGGATGTCTTATCAGTGGTTGCCGTTTCCACTCGGGGCAGGCGTGGTGGCGAAAAATTCAGGAAGTGCGTTTAACTCCTTTTTTTCCGAGACCCTTCTTCAGAAATCGGTACTTTTTTGCGTCGTTTTATCGGGTTACCCTTCCTGGACCCGTCGGAAGTAGGGGATGCTTTCGTGGATTTTTTTACGTCGGTTCAGCCACAGTGTGACGAACTAACAGAATTTTGTGATTATTTGACGGACAATTATATTACGCCTGATGCTCGTTTCCCACCATGCATTTGGGCTGAGAAAAGTGCAGCGCCAACAAAAATCACCAACGCATGTGAGAGTTTCCTTTCCCGTTATAACTCCACTTTTTATAAAACCCATCCAGATCTGTACAGTTTCGTCGGTGTGCTGAAACAAGTTTTTAAAGATTCCAAAATTTTAATCAACTCTGCGAATAAATCTGAGGCCACTCTGCAATCTAAAACTTTGAAAAAAATGAAGGCCATACAAGCGAGCATCACCAAACTCTTCGGTGATAGCAGTGGAGATTCTCTATCCAAATTTATTTGCGCTGTTTCCCATAAAAATACGCCTAACATGTTTCTGTAATATTTCCATTTTTATTTATTTATGTTTTTTTACCGTTTGACGCACCGCGGGCTCTTCACACCCGATAAGTTTACACTTCTCAAAATTTTTGCTCAGAAGCGGGTTCTCAACGTAATCGCATGGTGAGTTTCTTTTATCACTTCCTAATTCTTCTATTGTGCTACCATTTAAATTGCTGCGATGTTGCCGCTTGTATTTAGAAATTATTTTTCCGAGACGGAATCGGAATCTGGTTTTAATTTCGGGACGGAATCGGACTCGGGACAGAATCGGGGGACGGAATCGGGCTACGCCCAGCCGGATGGCATTTAAGGGGTTATTATCTAACAGTCGGTAGCTGCACCACCAGTGTAAGTCCATAGCATAACCTCACTATTTGATGTGTTTACATCAAGTTTTCAAATGTTAAAATGGAGAAGGAATGGGCGCTACGTACTTACTTGGCCCAGCGATTTATGCAGCAATATAAATTCTTGATTTTATAGTAATCATCAAGCTGAGAAAATAGAACGAGTACATACCTTTCATGAAAGACTTTCTTTACACATTGACTGGCCATATGGTGTTTCTAACAACTTCTGACGCAAAATCAAAGAGACTCGAAGAAAACCAAATTTGAGCTAATACTCATCGTCAAAGATCTCTGATTTAGGGACATAAAGTTGACTTAGTGATTGAATTATACCTTGCACATCCCCATGATGTCTTCGATGTAAACAAGCAACGGTAAGAGGCGAAAGCTTTCCCAGATAAGTCGTGAAGAACACAAGATCTTAATGTCAATAACATACACTTACGAAAAGCACAAGCACTCCAGAGCACGTAGGTTGAAAGCAAAATTTAAAGCGAATAAATTTTGGTCAGGGCATGGTGACCGTGTCGCATGTAGTGTGATGGGCGAAGGCTCATATTACAGTAATTTTTAGATATTTTCTTGAGACTGATAGGGTCCACCGAAAACAACTACATCTCTTCAAGATATGGAAACTAGCATTCGTGACTTGAGGAAAACAATAATGTAATTAAAAACTGAGAGTAATTGGCTCTCCCTTTGATCCATCGATCCATTGGTGTGCATGGTAGGGAAATATTTGGATGCTGTTAGTCACGAGAATGCAAACTGTGGTGTAAATCCTGCTTCCTTTAGATAGTTTGGCACAACTTTGGTGTCCTTTTATTTATCGACGTAATTTACCTGAATTACATTTATTGATGCTTGGGTCAGACAGATGCACGGACTGATAACCTCACTTCTGAACAAAGACATCACTTGAACATTTTAAGAGAAACTAATGAAATAGTGTATCGGGCTCTGGCAGAAGACGTGCAACGTAATAATATAAGTGTGTAAAAATATTAGTTAGCTTCTACAGAGAATTGAACTCTTATAATTAAATCATAAATCTGTGCTCAACTAGTTAGAGTTGGAAGTTGGTAACGAGGCAGGGAAATT